ATTTTTTGTTCAGTATTTATTCGTTTTTAAACGTATTTAAACGAAGATTTTTATTCGTTGTGGAGATATGCTAAACGGAAATTTTATGGGGCCACCCCTACAAGTCCTTAATGGGACTTGTTATACAAAAACCAAAGTGTGGATATTGTTTAGAACATTATTCTGACCATCTTTTCTTCAATATTGCTATTTAAAATATTCCCCCTTTTTTGAGATATAAAGCGTCAAATATTTGAAAACATTCGGCCCCTTTCGAAACCGTTATTACGTAACATATGATCAAAATTTTATCATATATTGTTGCAAATTGTTAAGATGACTACTTTTGCTGTAGTAATATATAACAAAATATTGATCATTAGAGAGTTATAATAAAAGACTTTTGGCCCCTCTGAACCCCTAAGTTGAGGGGTCAGCCCCTTTTTCTTGATATCAAATGAAAGGTCTTGTGATTTTGAAGATTTTTTGTTCAGTATTTATTCAGAGATTTCTTTTCGTTCTGGAGATCTGCTGAATGGAAATATTTAGGGGCCACACCTACAAGTCCTTAATGGGGCCATTTTTCAAAAATTCAAAGTATGCATATTGTTTAGAACATTATTCTGACCATCTTTTGTTCAATATTACTTATTAAAATTGTCCCCCTTTTTGAGGTATAAAGCGTCAAAGATTTGACATTCTGGCCCCTTGTGACCCCTAATTACGTAACATATGATCAAAATTTTATCATATATTGTGGCAAACTGTTAAGATGACTACTTTTGCTTCAGTAATATATAACAAAATATCAATCATTAGAGAGTTATAGATAAAAGACTTTTGGCCCCTCTGAGCCCCTAATTTGAGAGGTCAGTCCCATTTTATTGGTATAAAATGAAAGGTCTTGTGATTTTGAAGATTTTTTCTTCAATATGCTTAAACAAATTATGAACAGGTATGAAGATATGAAACAAAATTTGTCAAATTTTGTGAGATATTTATGAGACATTTTTTCGGCCCTACTGAGCTCCGGCGCCTTTTGAGCTAGAAGGATTTGGAGACCCAATTACAACTCACCAAAGCTTCCTTTATTTTCACTGAAAATCTTAAGTCGATATCTTAAGCCGTTTCGGAGGAGTTTTCTGGACAAGCCGACCCTCTGAAAATCAGAAAATCCTGAATATCTCGAGATAAGAAGTGACGTCATCAATCAAAAAAAATTCCAATAAGGTTCAGATCAATACCTACAAGATCTGAAAGTTTCGTAAAATTTGGACGAGTCGTTTCTGAGAACTTGCGTGCACAAAATCGGTTGGAATAATAAAAGGGAAAAAGTAACCGAACGAAAACAATAAGGTCTTCTGTTGGAGATGGAAGACCTTAATAACTAGAAACGATCTCGTTGCGAGCAACGAGAGTTCTTCCGTCCGATTTAGGAAAAGAACCTAAAATCGAGCCGAAAAAGTGATAAAAAAATTTGGTCACAAAGGGGATTGAACCCAGGTCGCCAGCGTGAAAATGCAACGCGCTTTTTTTCCTCTTTATTCCCAACACGCTTAAATTACGCGTTTGATTCCACTGCTCTAAATGAACTTGAATATACTTCTTCAACAATACACCTGTCTAAGAATCACGAAAGGTGCGCAACAATTTATAATTTCGCGCCAAACGCCACAAGTTAATCTGCGCATCTTTTCTTTGGAATGTTTCATTAAATAGGTGTGATAGCTTCAATAGAATAAAGAAAAAGGAACGTTCTTTAAGCCTAAATTTCGAGGTTTAGAAAATATATTTAACAGATTGTACATATTCTATATCTTATATAGGTAAGTAACACAAAAGAAGTGAAATGGTAATCATTTTTAACTTTTTTTTTAATTATCCGTTTATCCCCAAAGTGAACTAACCCGATTCTTTACACCTTCATGAAAAGGCAGAAATGGTTCGATAAAAGACATGTCTCGCCCTTCGACGGTCAAGGAATCAGATTACATTTATGTTGAATGGTCAATGTTCAACTTTAAATATCTTTGAGAAAAGAATGTTAATATAAACTCCATTAGACGATCTTATTTAAAAAAGATTTTCTTATTTCTGTCTTTTTTATTAGTTAATGTGACTGAAGTATGCATGTGAAACACAGTGGTTACGTTTGTGAAAAAACTAATAAATTTTGAATACTGCTCTAAATATAGTTAAGTATACAGTACACCTGCAACAGTACACCTGTCTAAGAATCATAAAAGGCGGGCCACTATTCATAATCTGGCGAAAAACAGCACGAGTAAATATTTGTGCCTATCCTTTAAACTGATCTATCAAATAGTTCTGATAGCTTTAATGAAATTAAATATCAAATTAAACAACTTCTTATCGCCTTCATTTTATTTCGACGCTGTAAGGAAAGTAAATTTAACACATTGCACACACGTATTTACCCCAATTACACTAAAGCAGTAAAACGGAAATTAAGATTTAAGATTGTCAGTGAATTGCAGCATACTAATAGGTGAAAGTCCATGTTGTTTTTTTTACTTGTCATGTATCATTTAGTCAAACGCTCAGCTGCCTCCATAAACCCCTACTCGCGAAATGGCGGAGTTGACAGAGAGAGCGGCCATCTTTGGGCCCGCTTCGGATTTTCAAATATTAATATCTAGAGTTCTGATTAACCAATATCCAAACAACTTATATAGTAAGCATCAATTAAATGGTCTCTATTATCATTCCAAAAAACATTTAAAAATATTGAAAAACAAAAAAGTTAAAAAATACAATTTTTTAAATTCGTTTCTCCTAACGACAGGAAGTAGCGACGACGAACGAAAGGTTGCGTCCTGGATAATATATATCAGGATCTATAATCCCTGAAAGTTTCATGTTGATATCTCTTACCGTTTTTGAGTTTAATTGTGGACAAAATGTCATTTTAATTTCAGGAAATGTCCCGTAACTTGGCACCACATAGGAATTTTCAAAAGATCTCCCGGATATACAAAATTCATGTAACGACACATTTGTTCTGAAACTTTCATGTAATTGCATCCAGTAGTCTTTGAGAAATCGCGTGCACAAAATTAGAAAGTCAAAAAAATTAGAATAATAATAATAATAAGAAACAATAGAATCACTATAAGGTCTTCCGTCTTCACGGAATATAATAGGGAAAAAGAAACCGAACGAAATCAATAAGGTCTTCCGTTGGAAACGGAAGACCTTAATAATAGGGAAAAAGAAACCGAACGAAAACAATAAGGTCTTCCGTTGGAGACGGAAGACCTTAATAAAGTATGTATCTTTCAACAAAGTAAATTGTGAATATCGATAAGAAAATTCTTTTACATCTATGTTCTAAAACTTTTAAATTTTGAAAATGGAAAGTATATTTCATGATGTTAGATTTCAGAAAGTTAACCTGAAAAATGTTTTTTAACATTTCGACAGATGAGAAAATCATCCATGATCTTAAGACTTGGTGTCATATTAATGTTCAGAAAATACAGAAGTTACATAAACTGCACTGTTTCTGTAATAAAGCAAGGCAAAAGTATTTTTTTAAAATGAACCTGATACAAAGACGGTTGCAGTTGGCGAGAAACAATAGTTAAATAGTATTTTGCAAATATCACGTGTATGTACATATTGACCTAAATTACATACAGATGTCGTAATTTACATTCATTCGCCAAGCGTAATCACCATCTTAACGAGTAACTAAAGAGAGATTATCTCATGAAATCAAGGAAGTTCACGGCATTGTTACTCTGAAATCGCTTTTCATTTTCATACTTTATTTACTATTTTGGCCAATTTGGGGACATTTTATTTAATTTTTCAACAACAATTTCCCTTTTTTATGAAACGATGGAGGTCTAAAATTAAAAATATATACTTAATAGACATCGGTTATCTTTATTTTAAAAAATCAAGTCCAGATAAAATAGAACAAAATAAATAAAAAGAATTTGCAGACGGCTCTTTTAATAATAAACAACGGAGCATATATAGTCTTTAACTGATAAACAAAGTATGATATATATTTGTAAATTTAGAATTAACAAAGAACTGAATTAAGAATTACATAGCAGTTAACATATAATTACTTTTATTTTAATCAAATAATTTTGAAATAGATTTTTGTCTATCGTGGTTAATATGCTCATAAATATTTTTCAAGCAGGATTGTAAAATCATCTCCACGCTGCAACAAGAAACGATTTTATTGAATCAGAGGTTACATGCGAAAGGAACGACCAAAACTCATTAAAATGCTTATGTTCAGATTTTTGGTAGAAGGATCATTCATGTATGCTGAAATAAGATGCTTTATCTTTCCTGTTTCTGATACTTTTTGCTGTATAATTCGCTAAAAAGTTAATCTCAGATAAACCGAACTTATGTCTCATTTTATGCCAAATTCATAAAATAAAACTCATGACATAAATATGTCAATCTCATTGGCGTCGGTAGCAAATTGAAAGTGGGGGGGCTAAGTGTAAGAAAAAAAAAAAAGAAGCAAAAAAAAAAAAAAAAAAAGGAAATGTGTATTTCCCAAACACGAAAATCCTATTTCGTTGGGGGGAGGGGGGGCAAGGTTCAAAAGTCTAGTACCAAGAAATTTTCTTCCAAACACCAACACATTTACTAACTTTAACCTATACTAAGACGTATCTATGGAAAGTGGGGGGGGGGGGGCTAAACTTACGCAGATATGTTCAATGTCTATACTAAGTATAAATTGGGAAAACGGGCGAACTCTCCCAACCCCGGTCCCAAGCGCCTATGCATCTATTTTCAAGGTAATATAATATTAAATAGCAAATGAAATCGTATGGTCATAATTGCTCGGCAACATTGTATTGCATTTTCTATTATGATAATACAAATTTACATACCAAAAGCACTAAATGATTGACAAAAAAAACACAGGCAAATTACAATCAAACCGTAGGAACATGCATTTTGAGGGCAAATATTTAAGTCACAAAACAAGAAATCAAACGATTATGAAAATCTGGCATTAAGTACAAAATGAGCATGACTTTTAACATTAAGTTAGATGTACATGCAGAAAAAGTAACTTGAAAAAGTATTAATTTGGCACATTTTCACAGCAATTATTTTTCTTTTTCTCCGAAAGAAACATTTTACAGTAAAACACGGTTATAACAAATAATAAACAGGTGATGGCACAGTGCAATTAGCTATACATAATCTTATCTTATGTTATCAAAATAATTTGATAATAAGACAAAATTCAGGCCTCTTCTGAGATAATTTACTGCACATGTGTGCTATATCTGTGTTTTACTGTAAATGTCTTGACATTTATCTAGACTTTCCCCATTTCCATATTTCGTTTGTTATTCCCCATTTCTCCCCGTCTATTCTCCTTCCCTTTCTTATTTCCTTCTATGTAATAAGGTCCAGGATTTTTTACCGGCCCTCTTTCCTTATTATTCTGAAATTTTAATAAAACACTTTTTTTATTTTTTAAAAGAATACATTTTTATAAATAAATTGTTGTCTTTTGATTTTAACTATTATAAACTTTTCCATGCTAGCAGTAATAGATTTGATGTTAAGGTTTCATTACTTTTCTTGGAACGCATTTGTTACTTATGTAGTTTTTTCATAACATCTTATTTTTGTTCTGTATGATTTCTTTGAAACCTTCGTGTTGTGATCACTGATACTTATTTACACACCTTTTTTCTAAATTTCTTTAGGTTTGGGTCTTCACTTGGTGTATTTTTAGAGCAAACTTTGATAAAGACGCCCATCACAATCACGACGCCGACTACAATAAGCATTACACCCCACCAGTGTTCCTGTAAAAAAAAATAACAGAATCACGATTCCGACTATAATTATTTTTACACCCCATCGGTGTTCCTGTAAAAATAAACAGAATCACGAAACCGACTACAATAAGCATCACGCTCCACTAGTGTTCAGGGTGCAAAACACATTTTTATGCATGACGTTATCAGGACGTTATTTTGTGAGGGACAAGCAAAACTGACCCCTATAAAAAATAAAATGGAGGCTTGTTACATAGACAATAACAAAGGCATATCAGTGGAAAGATAAAATAAAATTGTGAATTTTGTAAATATCCAACTATAATACATACATCAATTACTACTAGGGGGTATTTGACACCTTAAATATAGGGGATATTGGGTTGTTTATGCATCCTTTTTCAGTGCACCTATGCATTTTAACCCCCCTGCTCAACAAAAAACAGAAAAAATCAGACAAAATAAGTTGTATGCATTTCACTGAACAAGTTCTAAGGTTTTATTTTAGTGTGCATTTAAGGTACATTTTCTACCTCTTGAAAGAGCTACATTACCTGCTAACTGACTCTTGCAATTCTGCACATGTAAATGCGGATGTTTTGGGAGTTATCTACCCCTAATAAAAAGTCTAACATTTTTTTTTCTAAAAATTAATGTACATTTATTTTCTTTAAGTATAAAGATAAGACTCTACTTTATGCGAATAAAAACTAAAAATGTGCAGATTTCATCTAAACTCCTATAAATAGCAGCAAAATCCCTACCCAGCATGCTTTCTCTGGGAAAAAAAAACCTGGATTTTATACGAAACCGTGTTTAGGTAGCTAAACACAGTTTCGTATAAAATCCAGGGGGTTTTTCCCAGAGAGAAGCATGCTGGGTAGGGATTTTCCTGCTATTTATAGGAGTCTAGATGAAAACTGCATCTTTTTTGTTTTTATTCACATAAAGTAGAATCTTATCTTAATATTTAAAGAAAAAAATGTGCATTCATTTTTAGAAAAAAAAAATTATGAGACTTTTTAATAAGGGGAGATAACTCCCAAAACATCCGGTTTTCACATGTGCAGAATTGCATGAGTCAATTAGCAGGTAATGTAGCTCTTTCATGAGGTGGAAAATGTACCCTGAAAGCACACTAAAAGAAAACCTTAGGACTTGTTCTGTGAAATGCATGCAACTTATTTTGTCTGATTTTTACTGTTTTTGGTGAGCAGGGGGGTTAAAAATGCATAGGTGCACTGAAAATGGATGGGTAAACAACCCAATATCCCCCTTATTTCAGGTGTCAAATACCCCCTAGTAGTAATTGATGTATGTATTATAGTTGGATATTTACAAAATTCACAATTTTATCTTTCCATTGATATGCAGAAGTCTATGTAACAAGCCTCCATTTTATTTTTTTATAGGGGTCAGTTTTGCATGTCCCTCACCAAGTAACGTCCTGATAACGTCATACATAAAACTGTGTTTTGCACCCTTAAGGAGTAGCATTTGATGACATTTCCCACATTTATTTGCCTGTAAGTTCATAGAAAATTGCTTTATTTCTTTTAAATCATGTAGTAAACCATACAATATAAATCTCAGGTTGACACTGTGTAAGGCATAATGCCTATTAGATACATGTTCCATAGAATTTATACATATGAAAAGGATTCAGGGGCTAAAGTTGTTATTTTACATTATGACGCAACAGCATTGTGACATCAAAGTGTGTCGTCATGTCAAAAATGGAAGCTTCGCAAGGTCATGACCTTCAATTTAATTGATCGCAAATGAGAATTTGTATCTTTTGTATAGATATACATGTGACATAGACCTATTGAGTATCTAGTTAGGGTGACACCATCCAGATGTTTTAGGCAATCTTCTGATTTAAGACAGTGACTATTTCCAATTAGACCCCCCCCCCCCCTTGTTTATACAGAAACTAGCAATATCTGTAAAAATTGTTTAGCAGCTTTTCAAAAAATTTTTAATGTAACATTTTATTGATATTCAAATACTGTATATTTCATACTTTGTGTTTTTTAAATTGAAGAAAAATAAAATTATTGTGTGAGCTGATTCGGTTAGGTTTGAATTTCTCTTCGAAGTCCTGTTTTATGCGTCGACTAATGTCGTAGACATGTAATACTAAATTTACAATAACTTGCCCATTTCTGGACCAAATTAAACAATTTATGCACCAAAACGTTTGGACATCTGTCCTCTTTGCACCTAAATACAAAAAAATGAATTGCAAAAAAAAATTATTTCCTTTAAGGTAGCTAAACACAGTTTCGTATAAAATCCAGGGGGTTTTTCCCAGAGAGAAGCATGCTGGGTAGGGATTTTCCTGCTATTTATAGGAGTCTAGATGAAAACTGCATCTTTTTTGTTTTTATTCACATAAAGTAGAATCTTATCTTAATATTTAAAGAAAAAAATGTGCATTCATTTTTAGAAAAAAAAAAATTATGAGACTTTTTAATAAGGGGAGATAACTCCCAAAACATCCGGTTTTCACATGTGCAGAATTGCATGAGTCAATTAGCAGGTAATGTAGCTCTTTCATGAGGTGGAAAATGTACCCTGAAAGCACACTAAAAGAAAACCTTAGGACTTGTTCTGTGAAATGCATGCAACTTATTTTGTCTGATTCTTTTCTGTTTTTGTTGAACAGGGGGGTTAAAAATGCATAGGTGCACTGAAAATGGATGGGTAAACAACCCAATATCCCCCTTATTTCAGGTGTCAAATACCCCCTAGTAGTAATTGATGTATGTATTATAGTTGGATATTTACAAAATTCACAATTTTATCTTTCCATTGATATGCAGAAGTCTATGTAACAAGCCTCCATTTTATTTTTTTATAGGGGTCAGTTTTGCATGTCCCTCACCAAGTAACGTCCTGATAACGTCATATATAAAACTGTGTTTTGCACCCTTAAGGAGTAGCATTTGATGACATTTCCCACATTTATTTGCCTGTAAGTTCATAGGAAATTGCTTTATTTCTTTTAAATCATGTAGTAAACCATACAATATAAATCTCAGGTTGACACTGTGTAAGGCATAATGCCTATTAGATACATGGTCCATAGAATTTATACATATGAAAAGGATTCAGGGGCTAAAGTTGTTATTTTACATTATGACGCAACAGCATTGTGACATCAAAGTGTGTCGTCATGTCAAAAATGGAAGCTTCGCAAGGTCATGACCTTCAATTTAATTGATCGCAAATGAGAATTTGTATCTTCTGTATAGATATACATGTGACATAGACCTATTGAGTATCTAGTTAGGGTGACACCATCCAGATGTTTTAGGCAATCTTCTGATTTAAGACAGTGACTATTTCCAATTAGACCCCCCCCCCCTTGTTTATACAGAAACTAGCAATATCTGTAAAAATTGTTTGGCAGCTTTTCAAAAAATTTTTAATGTAACATTTTATTGATATTCAAATACTGTATATTTCATACTTTGTGTTTTTTAAATTGAAGAAAAATAAAATTATTGTGTGAGCTGATTCGGTTAGGTTTGAATTTCTCTTCGAAGTCCTGTTTTATGCGTCGACTAATGTCGTAGACATGTAATACTAAATTTACAATAACTTGCCCATTTCTGGACCAAATTAAACAATTTATGCACCAAATCGTTTGGACATCTGTCCTCTTTGCACCTAAATACAAAAAAATGAATTGCAAAAAAAAATTATTTCCTTTAAGGTAGCTAAACACAGTTTCGTATAAAATCCAGGGGGTTTTTCCCAGAGAGAAGCATGCTGGGTAGGGATTTTCCTGCTATTTATAGGAGTCTAGATGAAAACTGCATCTTTTTTGTTTTTATTCACATAAAGTAGAATCTTATCTTAATATTTAAAGAAAAAAATGTGCATTCATTTTTAGAAAAAAAAAATTATGAGACTTTTTAATAGGGGGAGATAACTCCCAAAACATCCGGTTTTCACATGTGCAGAATTGCATGAGTCAATTAGCAGGTAATGTAGCTCTTTCATGAGGTGGAAAATGTACCCTGAAAGCACACTAAAAGAAAACCTTAGGACTTGTTCTGTGAAATGCATGCAACTTATTTTGTCTGATTCTTTTCTGTTTTTGTTGAACAGGGGGGTTAAAAATGCATAGGTGCACTGAAAATGGATGGGTAAACAACCCAATATCCCCCTTATTTCAGGTGTCAAATACCCCCTAGTAGTAATTGATGAATGTATTATAGTTGGATATTTACAAAATTCACAATTTTATCTTTCCATTGATATGCAGAAATCTATGTAACAAGCCTCCATTTTATTTTTTTATAGGGGTCAGTTTTGCATGTCCCTCACCAAAGAACGTCCTGATAACGTCATATATAAAACTGTGTTTTGCACCCTTAGCTACCTCATGTAAATATGAACAGAATCACGATCCCAACCACAATTACATGTAGCATTTAACCCAAACAGTGTTCCTGTAAAAATAAACAGAATTTCGAACCCGAAAACAATAATCATCACACCCCACCATCGTTCGTGTAAAAATAAACACAATTATGACCCTGTCAATAATGACCAAAATAAAAATTATATCCCTGATATTACATTCAATCACAAGAATTAAAGCTTAATACATACAATGATCCAGTTTCTGATTGTGGTGAGAGTTTCTTCTCCAAAGATCAAATTTTTCAGTTGTTCTAGAGGTCCTTCGTTATCCACACCTCTACATCTGTGGAAAACGTCACAATAGCCCTGATAGTTGTTACAAGGTGTGCTTAAAATGTACAAATTACGTCACAATAGCCCTAATTATAAAATACAGGGTGTGCATAAAATGTACAAATTAAGTCACAATAGTCCTAATAATTGTTACAGGGTGTGCCTAAAATGTACAAATTACGTCACAGTAGCCTTGAAAGATGTTACAGGGTGTGCCTTAAATGTACAAATTACGTCACAATAGCCGAGATAGTTGTTACAGGTGTGCTTAAAATGTACAATTACGTCAAAATAGCCTTGATAGTTGTTACAAAATTTAAAAAAATGAACATATTACGTCATAGTAGCCTTGATAGTTATTATAGGGTGTGTCTAAATGTACGAATAACTTCATAGTAGCTTTGATAGTTGTGACAGGATGTGCCTTGAATATATAAAATACAATGCAATAGCACTGATAATTGTAACAGTGTGTGCCTTTAAAATATAAAACTTACTCCAAAATAGTCTCGAGTATTGTTAAATTGTTTTCTTTTAGATTTAATGATTAGGTTTAAAAAATTGAGACAATTTCATATTTAAATTAGCATTTAGTAATTATTAAACCAGTGAATCTAGTCCTCTGGATCACGTGCTGCGTAATGTCAAGGCTTATGAGTCATATTGACGAAGGACTTTTTCCTAATATTTGAATATTATCATGTATTGTATATTTACAAGACTTAATACTAAATAAATGAAAAGATTAATTAATTCAAGCTTTTATTTACACTATATCGTGTCGTTTGTTTTATTTTTGTTGCTTGTTTAATTTTTCATGACATCAAAAAATTCTAATACGGAGAAATTGTATTTGCTGTCCAGGTCATTGTATCGACCATAAAACTTTTTTCAAGTAAAATATCCAAATATGAAACAGATGTGTCAAACTCAGCTCACTAATATATATTGTATCGACATAAAAATGAATATTAATACTGACAAACTGAATAATTCATGTAATTACTTAAAAGGTGGAAGTTGGTAATATACTACTTGAGGTCACCTCAGTCATCATGAAGTTTAGCAGTTAGATTGACATGCATGTCTTTCTGTAGCAAAATGTCTAAGTATGAGGAATTTTTTCAGTTTTTTTGTTGTATCTTTATATATAAAAAGGACATTCTTACCTGAAGCCACTGAAATGGGTGAACTATCTTTTCGCAAAGCTTTAGGTCTTGAACTAATTTACTGAATGCTTCTGGAATTTCCGAGTCGTCGTCGACACATGACAGGTGTCGTTGCCATCTTTAAGGTGATTCGAACCTGTCAAAAGTAATTGGAATTTTAAAAAATGGTTACCTTCGGAAAAAGGACAATTTTGTGGTTTAAGAATCATAAAAAAATTTATATGTCAATGCGCTCGTTTCCATGGCAACAACCTCTGAATATGCCCTTGTTTGAAAATGTAAAATCTGTGAAAAAAATCCCACTACCAGTAAAAAAAAGTATTAAAAAACTTACAAATTATCATCAGAATTTATTTATTTTTATGTATAAAAAAGGGTAACAGATCAACATCATCTTGTCATTTTTACACATAGATAGTACATTCCAACAACATTCTACGACAGCCTGAATTTCCTCTGTCGTCTTAAAAATTCCCTATTTTTTCTTAACCTTGACAACAAAAATGGTTATAAAAACACACTAAAAGTAATTGGATATTTATTTTCTAAACTTTATTTTAAATAAGAGATATATAGCTAAGTAACAGAGGGGAGAAATTGGTATGGTAATGAGTCAAATAAAAAGATATTGTATTCCGAATTTCCTCTGGTCTATTTTTAAAAATTACCCCGAAATACATATATTGGCAATTGTGGCTATACAACTTAATCAAAATTAATCAATGTCAATTTATTTAATAAAATATGTTAAAAAAAACTTTAAAAAATACTTTTGAAGAAAAAATAAAATAAAATTTAAAGAATTTTAAAATTTACATTTAATTTCCCAATTTCCTATGCTCTTTTTTTAACCTAATTTTTAAATTTATTCTTGGCGAATTAAACATATAACACAATATCATGATACAAAATTTTTTATAATTTTTTAAAGATTTTATATGTATACCTAATTTAGAAAATAACACAGTTCAAATAATATTTGCACAGTTCAGGTGAAAAAAGTGCACATTACTAATCCGAATTTCCTCTGAATTTTTAAAATAACAAATCAATAATGTAAAATGTTTGCCTTAATAAAAACAAGAAATCTGTGAGCCAATGCTCACTAGTTATACCCCGCTCCGATGTAAATAAGCACTATCATGTTAATATACACAAGTTCAATTACAGGCAGATGCACAGAAATATATGAAGTTGACATCAGATTCATATCAAAATTAATCCCACCAAATGACATGCCTCAACAAAGGGTGTAATAAAATTTAAAGCATCTGCTATGAACAGCTTATGAGAAAACTGCGACGAAAATTTCTTATGTGTGAAAGAGACAGATGCACAGACAAACAGGAAGTTGATATCTGATTCGAAAAAAATGTAGCTAAACATATGGCATACCTTAGAAAAGATTGTGTTAAAATTTCAAGCATCTACAATGAGTAGTTGCGGAGAAAACTGGGACGAAAATTTGTTACGTATGAAACGGTCAGATGCACAGACAAACAGGAAGTTGACATAGGATTTGAGCTAAAATGTATCCCATCATATGGCATGCCTCAGAGAAGATTGTTTTAAAATTTCAAGCATCTACGATGAGTAGTTGCTGAGAAAACTGCGACTGAAAATTTGTTTCGGATGGACACAGAAAGACAGATACACACACAATGGTAATACAGTATACCCCTCTCCTTCGGAGTGGGGTATAAAAAATACATATCCATGGACTGACCTTTTCCTGCCATTTAGAATATTATATATCATATTGGAATATGGAACATAGTGATATACATATGACCCAATTTCAGTAAATGAAGAATAAGATCAACGGTTTTCAATCCAAATTTCCTCTCTTTTTGAACACACACACACACACACACATACACGAAAGGAATTTTTAAGATTTTTTTAAAAATCTAGAAAAACAAATGACAAAAATGACAAAACACTTATATAACATTTTTGAAGAAGTTTTCCCATTATATGACAAATATATTATTTTTATCAATATGCCCAGAAAAACTGCTTAATCATGCCGGATACAGTTATATTGCCCTCCCGAACACATCTATGTTCCCTGGCGTGCAATCATTCTGCGTATTAAATATGTCAGGTTCAAAATTTACAGAGGCAGTTGCTAAGCAAACATAAAAATTTCTGCTAAAATTAAAAAGTCGGGACAACATCTGTGATTTGTTTATTTAAATTTAGATGAATTAAATAATTTAATTGAGGAGAAAAAAATCCTTAAATACAACAAAGGTTATCAACTTGTCAGTATACTTAAAACTCTCTGCCATGAAACAGGACGGAATATTTCTGAATTATACTCAACGTACATGTTTACCTAGGCCTAGTGTTCAATAAATATGTTCGATGATCGATTAGGATTCAATGATTAAAAATGTTGTATACCATATATAACATGGCTTAATTCTCGGGCATTAATACCAGAATATTTGCCCCTCTGTGACAGGAAAGCCCAGAAGTGTTTGCCTTTGGCATCGGGCAACATAACACTCCAGGGCTTTCCTGTCACCGAGGGGCAAATATTTTGGTATGCTGCCCTTGAAGCCATGTAATATATGTATAATGTATCATTGCTTAACTTTTGCAAGCTTAAACTTAGGAATAACATAAATGGGCACACTGAATGGAAAAAAGACGGATTTAGTATGACAAAAGTTCCTCAAAAAGTATATCATTTACATGTTTGCAGCAGGTCTTTTCATACAAAAGTGCTTTAAATCTTATGGGCGGTTCTGACACAAATGCTTCTTCCCTTTATTTTTCCAACTTCAATCTTGACTTTCTGTGGCTTTCAATTGGTAAAATTCTGATGAACAATTAGCCTAAGTCTTTCATTGCAGCTTGACTGTAAACACCTCAGTCATGTTGACATGTGACCAAATTCAACACAGATGTGATTCTTAGCCTGAAAAAAAAAACTTTAGTTCAGTTACAGCCTTATTAATAGGTGGACACTGAATACACATGTAATAATGTAACATCTATTATAAATTACCTATTACTGACTGATTATTGATATTCTAATAGTAATAGTTCCAATGAAATAAAAATAGCATGATACCTACAAAATAATATTTACATTCTGCTTGTATTTAGGCTATGAAATGCATAGAATTTGGGGCATATAATACAAAATTACATTGACAGTAAGCTCAAAAGGTAAATATTAAATTTTTTTTCAATTTTATGTTTATGTCACAAACCTTGAATACTGTGCAACATCATATGGGAAAATCAAAATTCACTCTCAAATTGAAGAGTTTAACATTCATTTTCTAGATTTGGCATGGCTCTTTCATTATTTTAAACTTACCCTAAGGATAATACAAAGGATTTTGAATTACATTAATTTTGTAGATGATACAGGGAGTTAAAATATGCTGTATTCTTTGAATTCGCCCAACCGAGGTCAGGGTGAAAGGGGCGACAATAAAACGGGCCGAAATTTCCCGGTATACAGTAATATGTACATTTTATCAGTCTGACATGTACTATAATTATTTTAGCAGGTTTACTTTTTAAAATTTGAAAACTTTAACAATTTAGAATTATAATTTTTTCATACCTTGCCAGATGGTTTCAGCATCACAGTTGTCTTTTAGCACATTTGGATCAAAGGGATTATAAAGTTACTGCAAAGTGTTGATTCAGGTTGTACATTTTGACTGCTTACTGATGGAAACTCCAGTCTGTTCCTTTGGCGGTTATTAAAAAACCTATCGAGAAAACAAATCACTAATCTGACAGTATTCAACTTACATGTGAATTTTATAGACTTCTC